TTTCAATTTTAGTATTTTTTATTCCCATGGAACTACCTATCATGACTTCCTTTTGAAATTTACTGTTCTTTGCCTGTGTCCATAAAATAATTTGTATATATAAATAATTTTAGATCTAAGCAGATAAAAGTAAGCTCATTGATGAACTTTTTTTGTGAATCGTTACATAGAAAATATTTTTTAAAACTTGATCACTCACTTGATAATGCCAAACATCTATGAAATGCTGCTAATAAATCCCTACTACAAAAACCTAACATCCAAGATATGGAGCAACCTCTTAGCACCTAATTTCACTTGTAAAAGATTAGGAGAACTATTCTTACTTATATATGATAAGAACATGATGGATGTGATAACCTGGTCTTTTTAAACCTCCAGTCTTAAACTGAAAGAAAACAGAGCCTGTTTGAATGGGTGATTATTGGAGCCAAATAATTTCCAACACTTCTTTTACCTCCATCAATGTATACTGTCATAGAGTTAAGCAGCAGCTGTTGGCAAAACAGGCCTTACTACCTCCAAGTGCTGCTTCAAGGTACTGAACAAGAAGGTGTAAATACATCTGTCTTCTGCTATTTGTAGCTCTACTGGCCTCATGTACGTCTTGCAGTGAGACAGATGGTCCCTGACACTGCACAGGCTTTCAGGCATATGTATTTGCAAACATAAGAAGGCAGATGTTGAATATGGTAAACACACGATTTGTCCCCTTAAGGTTTAAGTTGAGGCTTCTATCTCAATTTGGATATTTAATTACTGGATCCTAGAAATCTTTAGAAATCTCTACTTTAGAAATATAACACTTTATGGTTATTTTATGACTATGTGCAAAATACCTCGGACATAGACCAAGTGGAAACTTATCTAACCTAAGTACATAATTTTACCAACTACATTATCAGGTATATTGAAAACAGAATATAATTTACCTGTCTATAAGTGGGTCACTCTGGGTTCTCTTTCTACATAAGCCATGTCACATACTTCTTGTTGATTTTATTTTAAAAATACTGGGAAAAGAATTTTATAAAATCAAAGCTTGAGGAAATGAGAATTTACAGAATAAAAAGAGACACGGAAAATGAAAACTCTCATGTGCTCATCACCCTGGTGACGTTAATGGAGCCATCAGATTTCTCAGCAAATACAATAAAATTTAATGTCAATAATTAATGGAAATTAGCTAACTCCAGTCTTAAGAATTTGTCATAGTAAAAAAAAATTTAATAAAATAAATATAGCCTTTAAAATCTAATACGATAAAAGCTAATGGGATGAAATATTGTCTGAGATCTGCTTCAAAACTCAGCATATGGCAAAAATGAAAATTCACAGAATATATTTGGTTCTCACAAATCAAATATTACTTTTAACAAGGCAAAATACATGTATTTTAGTGAAAATGTTAAATTTTAAGATAATAAAATCATATATTCTGAAAACTTTATGATTAAATGTTTGGATAACTTATAGTAAAAGAATGATCAGAAAAGTCAATAGTAGTTTTCAAGTATAATCAACAAACTCTTCAGAGAGTGGCTAAAGGAGCGTTCCCCAACCTTTGTGACACCAGGAACAGGTTTCATGGAAGTGTCACCTCAGATCATGAGGCATTAGATTCTCATAAGGAGCGTGCAACCTAGGTCCCTCGCATGTGTAGTTCACAACAATAGGGTTTGCACTCTTACGAGAATCTAAAGCTGCCACTGATCTGACAGGAGGCAGAGCTCAGGCGGTGATGCTCACTCACCTGTTGTTCACCCCCTGCTGTGCGGCTCCGTTCCTAACAGGCCAGGGACTGGTACCAGTCTGTGGCCCAGGGGTTGGGGACCTCTGGCTTAAGGATATTGAATCTTGTCATCTAGCAACAGTCAAGTATAAGTTATGATTGACCACTATCATCAAAGTCTTATCAGTTACTGCACTCTATATTAATAGGAAGGGATAAAAAATAGTAGATGGCAAGACAAAAAAGGAATAGTAGGTTGGGTAATTTGTAGTACACTAAAGCTATGCTACAACTAGAAAATTCATTGTAGACAACAATTATGTGGAATTAAAAAAACTAATCAAATACGTTCAAGATCACTTCTTCTGATAAATGTACTACAGTTATATAAGAGAATGTCCATGCCTTTAGAAATTACACATTGAAGTATGTAGCGATAAGGGTATACTAAGTCTGCAACTTATTGTAAGACAATTAGGAAAAACGTAACATGTTAGTGTATACACAGGCAGAGGGAGAGAACGTGAATGGCGTGTTAGTGTATATTCAGGCAGAGGGAGAGAATATGAATGATAAAGCAAATAAGTTGATCTATTAACATTTGGGGCCGGGCGTGGTGGCTCATGCCTATAAAACTAGCACTTTGGGAGGCCAAGGCAGGTGGGTCACTTGAGGTCAGGAATTCGAGACCAGCCTGGCCAACATGGCAAAATGAGCTGGGTGTGGTGGTGCACACCTGTAATCCCAGCTACTAGGGAGGCTGAAGCAGGAGAATTGCTTGAACCAGGGAAGCAGAGGAGGTTGCAGTGAGCCGAGATCACACTACTGCACTCCAGCCTGGGAGACAGAGCAAGACTATGTCAAAAAAAAAAAATTGGGGAATTTGGGTATACAAGAATTCCTTTGGATAGTCTTGGAACATTTCTGTAAGTCTGAAACTATGTCACAAATAAATTAAAACCTAGTACTCATTGTGTGACAAGTATCAATTATTCTCTCTGAACACTTCAATACAAGGCATGCTAAAAAGAATTTGAAACCATGGCAGAAATGGAATGGTATGAATTGAGATACAAAGCCTAGTAAATAATATGATACAAGTATCTTAACTAACATTTGTTTCAAAGCATATAAAATAACTCAAATTGATAACACTTCCCTTATTAATAATTAAATTGTTCATAATACAACAGAATGCTCCAAAAATCTGAGAACAGAGAGCAAATTTTTATAAGAAAAGGAAACATAAGAATTTTATCTAAATTCATAATGTGTGGTAACACAGGAGGACACCAAATGACTAACAGTTTCTATTCATCTTAGTGTAGAGAGAAATGCAGTAGTAAGAGGGAGACAGAGAGAAAGAGAGCAGGAGATTTTATCTCCTTATGGAAAATTTCAAATACTACATAAAAAAGTAGACTCACTTCCTATCCCTCTCCATAAATATTATGAATTAAATTCTAACATCATATCATTTTATGCACTAAACTTCAGTTACTATTTCAGAGATATATTTGGAGAAGCTCATTAGAAAAAGAGAGCTAATTCTTTGCATTATAAAACAGGACAGCTCTTATGTTAAAATTAAATAAACACACACCAGAAACAAAGCACTAGAATATGCTTTTATGACTCCAGGAGCCTTTTGAACCTTCTTAAATTTCCCTCACTCTGAATATAAAATTAAAATACAGAGAAACAATTTTGAGGATGGTTTCACTTAGATTCAGGAAAGACAGGCTAAAATCTGTAAGTACTTTGGAGAACTGTACAATGCTGGAGTGAATCAAGATGATACAGTTATGTACTGACTAACTTCAGTAAGTAAAAAAGAAACTTTAAAGTTATGATTCCAGATTTAGTCCCATTTTTTATTCTACATCACAGGAATGCAATATACAATGAAAAAATAACCTAATTGTCAATATAAAGGACATAACCTCTTTACTATTCACAGCTATTATTCTTAACTTATTTTAAAATAAACTAACAGAGGAAGAGAAAGTTGAAACCCAACTTAAGATTATACTTTTGCTGGACCCAAGGAGTTAAAAAGTTGAAAAAAATTAAAAAGATATACAGGCCAAATTATTGGTGCCTTAACATGTCTGATTTGGGATGAAGTTTTGCTAAAAAATACAGCAAATGCCACAGACTCAATTTTATGTCTGCATGCAGCAACAGGATCTCCCTATATACAAACACCACTCCACCTAGCTACAAGGTCAGTTTCTATGTTATGGTGATACCTGGAGGTCAAAGGCCTTATCCCTGAGACTACTGAGTATTTCTTCTCACAAAAGTGACCTCTGTAAACACATTAATACTGAACACAACAAAATTAAGATATATTGACATAGCAGCCAAATAATTTAATATATTCCTTTCATTGGAAAGAACTTGAGGACTGTTTGAGGCCAGACAGGGTTTTTGCCTGACTACTTTAATACAGAAATGTAAAAACATTGTTCCATTTCAAATTAGGTTAAACTTCAGCATTGCTCACTATGGAAAACAAGTAATTTGCCTATAAACATACACATTTTCTGATATAAAATGGATTTCCAGTGTTAACATACAATTGAATATCTAATAATATCTTAGACCTAGCAGTTTATTTTCAGGAACCTAATGAAGTGATAATCTTATATTCCTAAGGGGTAGCAAATTGCTAAAATAAGCAAAAATAAATCAAGTGAGTCATCGAAAGTCTTTAAGGAAGTTAATGACCAATCTTAATAAAGCCAAAATCTTAGTGCACTGGCTTTGAAAACTACCAATAACATCACATTGTCCTAACACTAACGACAGATTATTATATGTAAATTATATCTCAATAGAGATGATTTTTTTCAAAGTATTAAAAAGACGGTTGTCATCTAAGGTTCTCTCCGTATTTGTATCTGTCAAAATTTGGGAGTCATTTCAAATCCCGAAAGAGCCAGGAAAATGAAACTGCACTTGCAGGCAAAGCCACAAGGCAGTAAGGGTAAGACGAAGTAGATGGATCTGTTTTTGATTAGCCAATACTAGTTTTCACAGCTTGTCACTGCTTTGTTTTCTCGATGGATGTGTGTATACATGGTTGTGTGCAAGTATGTTTGTGCAAGTTTTATGCTTTGTACTTAATCTGATGCCATTAAGTCTCATTTGAGCTGGAAATAAAGAACATAACAAAAACCACACAAAGAAAAAGTATGTTTTATTTTTATTCATTCAACCCTATAAAACAGCTGTTAAGAAAGCACCAAGCCTGAAGCCTTACCCTGTTCGTTTGGTGATGGTCCCCAATGTCATTGGCTGCTTGATTTGTGCAAGAGGCATCACTACCATCAAGCTGGGGAGAGGAGAGAGTCGAGGGTTGCCAGGGTTGTTGTTGGTAAAATTGTTATAGGAGTCTTGGCTGTTCAGTTTTCCTACAAAGAGAAAAATAAAGAAAAGCATCACTGAGGGAAGTTTCCTATCTCTGATAGGGTTTTCACTGACTCCAGTAATCATTTAAGAAAGGCATCAAAGGGGCCGCGTGCAGTGGCTCACGTCTGTAATCCCAGCACTTTGGGAGGCCGAGACAGGCAGATCACGAGGTCAGGAGATCAAGACCATCCTGGTTAACATGGTGAAACCCCGTCTCTACTAAAAATACAAAACTTAGCCAGGCACGGTGGCGGGCGCCTGTAGTCCCAGCTACTCGGGAGGCTGAGGCAGGAGAATGGTGTGAACCCGGGAGGCGGAGCTTGCAGTGAGTGAAGATCGCGCCACTGTACTCCAGCCTGGTCGACACAGCGAGACTCCGTCTCAAAAGAAAAAAAAAAAGGCATCAAAGGTAGAATTGATGCCAAGAGAATTACAATTATGTGGATGAGAAGAAACTAAACTATTCTTGGAGAGCTGGATGGCTCATGCCTGCAATCCCAGCACTTTGGGAGGCCAAGGCAGGAGGCCACGAGTTTGAGGCCAGCCTGGGCAACATAGTGAGACCCCATCTCTACAAAAAATATCAAAAATTAGCTGAGTATTGTAGTACACGCCTGTCATCCTAGCTGCTCAAGACTGAGGCAAGAGGATTACTTGAGTCCAGAAATTCAAGGTTACAGTGAAATATGACAGCACCCCTGCGCTCCAAGCCCGGGTGGCATACAGAGACCCTGTCTCTAAACAAACAAACAAAAAAGAAGTATTCTGGTAATACCAAGTGTGACTTAATTATTAACATATTTCAGTCTTTGGGAATTAGGGCTGAATTCCTTATCTTTCTAAAGACAGTTCAGGTGGTTTGTTGCCCTGCTTAGGTCCTCACATCCAACACAATCTGCTAGTTCCCCCATACCTTGTCAATTTCTAAACAAAAGCCAGCTGGGCTTTTCATAGGGATTACATTTAATCTGGAGATAATTTGGGGAATACTGCCATTTTAACAATAATATGTCTTTTAATCCAATAACTTAGGATGCCTTTCCATTTACCTAGGTATTCTCAAATTTCTTTCAATGTTGCTCTGTAGTTTTCAGGGTACAAGTTTTTTGTTTTGTTTTGTTTTGTTTTTTTTAATTTTATTTATTTATTTTTTTTGAGACGGAGTCTCACTCTGTCGCCCAGGCTGGAGTGCAGTGGCTGGATCTCAGCTCACTGCAAGCTCCGCCTCCCGGGTTCACGCCATTCTCCTGCCTCAGCCTCCCAAGTAGCTGGGACTACAGGCGTCCGCCACATCGCCCGGCTAGTTTTTTGTATTTTTTAGTAGAGACGGGGTTTCACCGTGTTAGCCAGGATGGTCTCGATCTCCTGACCTCGTGATCCACCCGTCTCGGCCTCCCAAAGTGCTGGGATTACAGGCTTGAGCCACCGCGCCTGGCCAGGGTACAAGTTTTATACTTCTTTGGTTAACTTACTACTAATTATTTCATTCTTTTTCATGCAATTTGAAAATGGAATTGTTTTCTTAATTTCATGTTTCAGATTATTCATTGCTAATGTATAGAAATATAGGTAACTTTTGTACACTGATCTTGCATCCTACAACTTTGCTGAACTCACTTCTTAGTTCTAGTAATTTCTTCTGGATTCCTGAGGATTTTCTACACACATAATTACGTCATCCTCAAAAAAGAGATAGTTTTACTTCTTCCTTTCCAGTCTAGATGACTTTTTTTTTTTTTTTTTTTTTGCCTCACTGACCTACCTAGAACTTTCAGTGCAATGTTGATTTGACAGGGGAAAAGCAAACTTTGATTTATTTTTCGCTCATTTTTGTGTATGTAGTGAGAGTTGAGGTTCATTGTGTTCTTTTTTTTAAAACATAGATGTGTAATTGTTCCATCACCATTTGCTAAAAAGATTATCCTTTTTCCTTTAATTGCCTTTCCATGTTTGTCAAAAACCAACTGACCATATACGTGTGGGTCTATTTCTGGATTGATCTATGTGTTCCATTGATCTATGTAGCCTTTCAGTAATACCACATTTTCTCAATTACTGTAGTTTTCTAGTGAGTCTTATTAATTGACGGGTTTATAGAGAAAGTATAAAAATTACCTCATTTTCTGTGTTACGGAGTAAGCCAGTGCCTGTAAACCAACAACTCTTTCATGCAAAAAACTTCTTATTGATCTAATGTTCATTTTATATCACTGTTCTTGACTGTTGATAAAAATTATCAACTCCATTTATGTGGTTAGCAATAGATAAGGCATTTAAAAAATGATAACCACAGTAAATACACATATAATTGTTTTTATTAATTCGAATTAAGTTGATAAATTTATGCACACAACAAAAGAATCCCCCCCAAAAGCCCTAATTAATATCTTATTTCTGAAACACATCCTAAAAGACATCTGCTTTAAAAATAGCATGGATTCAGGATAGAGGGAGAACTACCACACAGAAGCTAATGGTAGCCTGAGAGGTAGTAAAAAGTCAAAAGTGCCTTTCTAAAAAATCATAACAAGATGATGGTGGCTTCAGAATTAGGATAATGGTTTAACCAAATGTTACTTCTTCCTTGGACACAAATCTATCTTTTTATATTACTCTATAGAATTATCAAGTTAAACTCTGATAAATGTCTCTTTTGTAAAACACAGGGAAAGATAAGAAATTCATGCAAATAAAATAAATCGTTCTCTATCTCCTCAATTTCCAATTCAGAATACACATTAAAGTTAACAGAAGCCATCTATACCTGTTGCAGGAATAACAAAAGACAGAATTCACAATACATACAAGATGATTTAGGCTACAACATAGAATCTTGTAGAAAATATGAAGAGGGAAATCACATTAAAATACCATATTTGTGGAAGAATATGAGAATAACTGCTTTATAGTCAAGCCATTCAAAGTAATTTATTATCACACTCTCGAGGCCAAAATTGATGTAGATAATTATAAAATTGCTATTAGACAACTATGCTAATATTAATTTGAATTTGAAATCAGACTGCAACTTTATGTCACAAGCTGGTGAAAATTAAGGTATATCATATATATTTCACAACTAGTAAACAAATATTTGTTGAGTGCCTTAGCCTAAGATAACACTGTAAGGGACTGTTTTCCTTGTTACCGTGAAGCTTACAGTCTAACAGGCACCAACAGGAATCATTAAGTGCTAATTGCCTAGAACTAAAGATAAGGAGACGTGCGAACACCTTTATTTGGAAAAGGGCTAAAGGAAAAGGGCAAATGGGATATGATCTAGACTTTGAAAATCGGACAAAATATAGATAAGGGTAGGAGAGAAGGAATATTCTGGGCATCAAGGATAGTATGAGGGAAGCGTGGTCTAAAGGGATGCCATTATGGGAGGAGTAGTGAGGAATCTCTAACGATCGCAGATAAAATACTTCAGTTTTAGGAGGACCTCTCAACTGAGCCAGAGGAGTAGGAACTTAGGTTAAGTTCTTCAGAAAGGGAACAGTACAGATGTTGAAGTCATTGAATTTGACAGATAAAAGGAGTGGTCTAGGAAAATGAAGTGATTCATTAAGAAGTTCCAAATCTGTGGTTTAGCTAGGCACGACTTAAAATGTTTCACTCTCTCACCAGGATAAAGGACAACCTCAGGATAGCAAACAAAGAACTTCAGATCTACCCTTCTCAACCTGTGTTTATGCTGCAGAGTCCATTTGAAACCAGCACATCTGAGAGGGTAAAATAAGTTGTATAGGTTTTACATTCATGTTCATGTTCACAGGGGTGGTGTCTGTCTTACATATTAATGGATATGGCTAGCAACTTATAAACACAGCTTTAATGAAACAATGGGTATATTAATAAAATGGTCAGTAAGGCCAAGATCTAAGAAGACAAAACTCAGAGAAAAAGCTACTAACTCTAATAGTCTTCAATAGCGTAGCTTCAGTAGTGAGGTGGAAAAGTCAGAGTTTAAGGAATAAGCAAAGGGACTGCTGATAGGATAAAAATCAAGGTAACAGACAGAAAACAAAGATTTAAAGACTGACACTGAAAAGAAGACATTAACAAAGATGACATACTGTGCCAAGCAAAAGTTTCATTCAACCTTCGCTCTGTCACTTCACACTTTTGGAGGCTTATTGGTATCAGGCCCTGTTCTAGATTCTGAAGAAGTAAGTCCAAGGGACTTTCAAAGAGTTCATAATATAATGGTACAGAAAGACATATTAACAAAAAATGAAAAATGGGAGAAAACCATGCTAATAAATACATCTGAAAAATGACTCAGGAACAAAAAGGAAGGAGTCACTTTTATTACTGTTTTAAAGGACAACTTAAAAAGGGAGAAAAGGTATACAAATTTTGAGCATAAAGGAGAGAATATCTTCTTATTTGCTTTTCTAGTAGAAAATAAGGGAGGAGAGATGTATAAATAACATCAGAAGTTAGTAAAATCAAAGAGCTAGCTTAGACAAGAAATCTCAATAGCTGACACAGACATATAAATAATACACATTAAAGAAACAAATGAAATAACTACACAAAACAGCCTAACAATCCTTTATTCCAGGACCTATTGTTAAAATCTTTGGTTATAAATGATTTTACACTATTTATTCTGTCTTGGATTTTCTTTGAAAATGCAGCTAGAATCTAACAAACCTCCAGATTTATCCTTCACAATACTGAAGACTCCACCAAGATGCCTGGACTCCTGAGGATAGTGTCTTACAAGTTATCAATAGCAAATAGCTCAATAAATGTTTGCCGAATGAAGGAAATGTATTTATTTCCATATCCAGGACATAGAGAAAAATATGGCCCTATGATCTATAGGAAAAATAATTCTGGAGGGGACTCAGTACTTCAGAAGGTTGCCAGATGACTGGAGTCTGCAGCTTTCACTATTCTGCTCAGTCTCATGTTCACTGGACTAGGAGGTTAGACTTGATAACTTTAAAAATAGATCTTTAGACATTTCCATGTGGTTATATCAAGCCTA